TATATTAGAACTAGTGTCTCTCACTTAAATAAGGGCACATGTGTCTTTTCCATTATATTAATAATATAAAAACATGTCTGGCCGAATGGGAGAGTTACTTTTCCATAATTCGAACCAAACTTTTCTTCTCTCTTTTTCTCCTCCTTTCTCTCTCTCTTTCTTCCCTCTTTCTTCCTCTTTCTTCTTGGCTGTTATCAGACTAACAGAACTCAAAGGCAGGCCAAATTATAACAACATCCATCTGAAACAATGGCCACGAGAAATTGGCTGCAAGAGATAATAAAACTCTGATACTGTTCATTTTTGCTGCTGGTGCAAAAGTCCCCAAGTAGTCTATGCCATATGTCTGTGTAAACCCCTTTGCAACTAATCTAGCCTTATATCTTTCAATGGAACCATCAACATTATGCTTCACTGTAAACACCCATCTACACCCAACTGGTTTCTTCCCTTTAGGTTAATCAACTAACTCCCATGTATTGTTCTTTAGAAGAGCATCTATTTCTACCTTCATTGCATCCTTCCACTCAGGTATTTACAAGGCTTCCTGCATTGTTCTAGGAATGGGAATAGCAACAATGGATGCCAAGAAAGACTTGTAGGATGGAGACAAATGATCATAAGACACGAACTGGGAAATACAATGAGTTGTAGATGAGGTACAACGGCGTTTCCCTTTACGGAATGCAATGGAAAGGTCAAGATCATCCAACAGAGGAGAAGGCTCAACAATGTAAGGTATTTCATCTGTAATGGAAGATAAAGGAACTGTGGTACCTGGATCTGGATCCGTAGAGGGAATTGGAGTTGGCCTGGACTGTTGATGACCAAAATCAACCTGCCTCCACCGCCTGTGATATACCCTCAAATCCTGGCACCTCTAACAACCCTCCTCACTACACTCCCCTTCAGTGATTGGGATAGGTAATGGAATTTCTGATGAATGAACCCCCACCTCACTACTCTCCCCCTGAGAAGAAACCCTAGGATAATAGGGTACATCCTCAAAGAAAGTGACATCCATAGAAACAAATCGTTTCCTAGAAATAGGTTCATAGCAATAATATCCCTTTTGAGTTTGTGCATAACCAAAGAAATTGCATTTTGAGGCTTTAGGATCAAATTTGGAATGATGAGCTCCAAGAATTTGAACAAAGCAAGTACATCCAAAGGTCTTAAGGGGAATAGTAAACAAATATTTATCAGGATATAGTAGGGTGAATGGAACTTTCATGTCTAGAACCCGTGAAGGAACTCGGTTGATGAGATACATAGTTGTATGAATAACATCTCCCTAGAAACGTATAGGCACATTAGAGTTAAGCATAATGCTTCTAGCTACCTCCAATATATGTCTATTCTTCCTCTCAGCAACCCTATTTTGCTGAGGTGTATGGGGACAAGTGCTCTGGTGGATAATTCCATGGTCAAGAAAATATGAGGCCAATGGTTTTGCAAAATACTCTTTAGCATTATTGGATCTGAAAATTTTGATTTTAACCCCAAACTGGGTTGAAACCATCTGATGGAAGATCCGTGTTAAGGTAGGAACCTCATCTCGATAACGCATAAGGTAAACCCATGAAAACGAGTATAGTCATCACAAACAACAAGAAATATTTGTATCCCCCCATAACAGTGATGTGATATGGTCCCCAAACATCATTATGCACACTTTCAAAAGGAATACAACCTCTTTTATTACCCAAACATCATTTGCAAGCTAACAACTTTCACATTTCAAACTAGACATCTAGACTGACTCAAACAAATTGGGAAACACTCTTCAAAGACCTAAAAGATAAATGACCTAACCGATTATGCCAAAGCATAACCTGACTCATAAACTGAGAAACAAAAGACCTCCAAACTGCACTATCTTCCCCATGTGAGCTCACTCCAAGCAGGTAGATTCCATTCGTCTCACAACCAATTCCAATCACCTTCCTTGTCTCCAGATCCTGAAAAACACATCGATCAGGAAAAAAGGTCACTGAACAATTTTGGTTTTTAGTGATGCTACTAACTGAAAGCAAGTTAGTACTAAGTTTAGGAACATGTAAAACTGTGGACAAAGAGATGGCATTAGACAATTTAATGTCTCCCTGGCCAGAAATGAGAACAAGGGAGCCATCAGCAATAGACACTTTGTCTTTGCCAGAGGATAAGTAATAAGTAGTAAACAATGAGGTCAAGCTAGTCATGTGGTCGGATGCACCTGAACCTATCACCCAACAAGGTTCAGTGTTACCTGGGGCTGAGGCATGATATGCTGAAGCTCGTGTACCTGAATGGGCAAATGCTGAAGTGGGAATAGCAGATGTTGTAACTAGTGGCTGAGATAAGGATGCTGAATTGCGAACTTCACTCTACAATTGAGTTAAAGTGTCCCAGACAGCAGCTAAGGTGTCTAGGGATGTGGCTCTTGTGCTAGATGAGGGTGCACCATCAATAGTAACAGCCACATTGGCATTTCCCCTTTTGTTTTTGAGTTTTGATGGAACTAGATGTGGATGTAACTTCCAACAGGTGTCTTTAGTATGCTTTGGTATCTTGCAATGTTCACACACTAGATCCCTCTTATCTTCCTTCTTCATATCCCTCTCTTTGTCACTCCCAAACTTTGGTTTCACTGTTGCTAAGGCTAATTCCAATGGATGATGCTGCAACATAACCTTTCTCCTACTTTCTTCACTGTGCACTAAAGAGTAGGCTTGTGACAAGGTCACACTTTCTCTAGTGAGGAATTGTTGTTTCACAATATCATATTTAGAATTCAGACTGGCTAGAAATTCAAAAACCCTATTGGTTTCAACTTGTTTTCTGTAAATCCATGTACACCTTGAGAAACGATTAATGAAACTGATAAAATAGTGATAGCCATCCATAGAAACAATGGGTGAAGGACCCCACACATCAGAGTGAACTAAATCAAAAAAGGTAGTGACATTGCTAATAGAACTTGGATAGTTTGCCTTACAATGTTTTGCCAATTGGCACACATCACAAAAAAAAGACTTTCAACAGACACATCTTTGAACAATTCTGGTAACACTTTCAATAATGAAAAAGACATATGACCTAATCTAGCATGCCATGTGAAAAGAGTTGTGCTCGGCTCCTTGTTATTGCTACCACTGATAGAGGCCTTCAAAGCAGAGCATATATTATCATCAACCAAGGTAGTAGAGGCCACCAACTTCACGACCTCTCCCAATCATCCACCTTGTCAACCGGTCCTGGAAAACATGGTGAGTGGGAAAGAAGGTTACAACACAATCTAGGGTTTTAGTAGTTTTTGAGATAAAAAGTAAATTAGTGAAGTCTAGAAGATGTAAGGAAAAATTGAGGAGAATCCCTTTTTCCTAGCTGAATATCTCTCTTTCCAGAGACTTTGGAAAGAGAGCCATCAGCAATTTCTACCTTATCATGCCCATATTAGAGATGGTAAGTAGTAAATAATGAGGATGAGTTTGTCATGTGTTCAAAAGCTCTTGAATCAATAACCCAAATGTTTGATGAAGAGGACTGAATAGCACTAAAAGCTGATTTGTTATACCTTTTTTGCAAATGAGGATGAAGCAATGGAGGATTGTTTCAACCGACTCATAGCCCGGTTGAGGATATCTACCTCTTGGGCTGTAAATTCTGGGAAGTTGTTTGGTGAAGTGGAGGCCTGTCCCATATTGGAAGAGCTGGTACTGTTACCATTGTTACTCTTAGAAACAGCATCTGCAACATTCGGACTGGCAGCATAACCTAAACTATAGTTGGGACTCTTATTTGGTTTCTTATCCTTCCTCAAGGCTGCTCGTTTCATGTGGATGGAGAATCCAACAAGTATCTTTTGTATGCCTCTCTCCCCCACAATGAGAACACTTCAATTTCTTGTTTTCCACCCTTAGAGCTGCTGGAAACAAGGGCTAATTGTTCACTAGGCTGAAAAGAAACACTAATTCCCATTTCCTTCCTCTTCATCTCTTCATTTCTGATTAAATAAAACACATGGTGCAGATCTAGAAGTTCATCTCTCCCTAATATTTGTGCTCTAATGCTCTCATATGAGTGATCCAAGCCAACAAGAAACTTGAAAAATCCTCCCTTCTTCAATTTGTTTCCATGCCTCTCTTGGTCATTAGTGTTGTCCCACTTAAGAACTAAATGATGATTGGATTCCTCCCACAAACCTTCAAGGGTAGCAAAATAGGTTGCTACAGTCATGTCTCCTTGGGTCAAATAAAAAATGTATTGATTCAGCTTGTAAATTCTTACAATGTTTATCTTTTGACCATAGGTGTTATGTAATTTCTCCCAAATTTTATGGACTGTGGTATAGTGCTGAGCAGTCTTTACAATTTTGGGAGTCATAGAGGTTAGCAACCATGACATTACAGTTGCATTTTCCCTACACAAATTTCTATAACTAGGGTCATCTTCCTTAGGCTCCTTAATTTTCCCATCAATGTAATACTGCAGTCTATGGCTCATTATGGACCATCTTGTTGTAATGACCCATTCCCTGTAGTTGTATTCATCTAATTTCACATTGGTAATCTGTATCATGGGATTCCCTAGATGAATAATATTGCCTACAGTCTTGGAACCTCCATAAGAGACTTCACTTGTGTTGGAAGATATACCGAACTCACACAAGACTGTTGCTTGAAAATAGAACAGGTCAACAATGCTTCTCTTTGCTGAAACTTCAGAAAACTGAGCTAGGGAGCACACGAATCTCCTGGACTGGTGCTACTTATAGTCCAGTGGCTAGAACAATAATCTCCTGGACTGATACTCCTTACAGTCCAGCAGCTAGAGACCTGTTAACTAGCATGTTGTTTGGCACCGGTGCATTTCACGGTGAATCGTTTCACCTGTTTCCTTGAGAAACATAAAAAAAGGGATGCACGCTTACTGGGCATTTAAAGTAATTTGGCTTAATATTATAATATATATATATATAATGACAACTATTCGACATCTCAAAAAGTAATCAATTTTTTCAAATTTCAATGTGCCATGTCACCCGGGCGATTCGGGATCACCCGGGCAATTCAAGAAACTTTAATTTGATGTTTCAAGAAATCCCTCCTTTCCCGAATTCCAAGGGTAATTATTACAGAAATGGTTTTTTGAGAAACACCCTTGCCAAATACCATTTTTTTTTCCGATTCCGTTTTTTGCTGATGTGGCGTGCATGACACATCAGCAGAAACAAATCGGCCCTGAAATGCATTGATGCCAAATGCCTACCAGGTCTCTTTAGCAGTCCACACAACTGCTCCACGATTTCTTGCCTCACTTGGGCATACCAGCTGCTATTCTGGGCCTCCATGGAGATTTTTTCCAAGGAAAAAAACCCTAGAAACTACTTCTGTTCACCACGACCAGCGGTAGCACTCCCTCTTGTTGTTCCAACAAAAAAAGAGGTTTGAGAAGAGAGAGAAGATGGAGAAAAGAGTAGATGAGCAGAAGAACTGCGGTTTATTGCTCTGATATCATGTTTGTATTCTGGTTTTGATGGAGAAAGAAGAAGATGAAGAACAGTGTTAGAGAATAGGGCAGCAGTTCCTTTCCAGTCCCTTAAAGTGTTATTTATATGAGGGCAACTACATGGACTGACAAAATTACCCCCCATTAGTAAGAGGCAATATGACCCGAAAATATAAGAGGGCCCAGGCCCATTTACAGTTAGTAACAGAACAAAATAATAAAGCCCAAAAAGAAATAAACATCTCTTAACATAAACAGGCCGAAGGCCATTCTGTTAAGTTCCACAGCAATGAAGACACGTTTGCATAAATTAGTACAGTTTGTTACATGAATCAGTGGACTGGAATGGTTGATTGCTTCAAAAGTGATGTTTAGGTTTTGGAATCAAGAATTGAGATTTATGTGAAATTTGATTGCATTTTTTTTGTTTTACCTATAGATTTAGCTCTACCACAGAGCGCTATTCTTAGATTTTGGAATCAAGAGTTGAGATTTATGTGAAATTTAACTGCATTTTTTGTTTTACCTATAGATTTAGCTCTATCACAGAGCGCTATTTTATGGAACTCAACACTCGCCGTATTGACACCAGTGTTTCCAGAAGTGAAACACTTAGTATCATTAATGGGATGCGCTACCTTAAGCTGGGGGTATGTGTACCACAAGATCTTTTAATAATTTTTCACAAAGCTAAGGCCATAGTCATCAGTTAATTGTCAGGTTAAGACAAAAGGTCTTTTAGTATTTTTTAGGACATAACTATCAGTTCATTGCCAGGTTAAGACTGAAGGCGGACTCACTGCATCAGCTTCCTTTGTCACAAAAGCAAACCCTCTAAATCGTGCTCCACATAAAAGGAAAAGTGAATTACACCATGCAATGTGCAATATGCTCTCTAGTATTCTAGCACCACTTGCAGATGGTGGGAAAAGCCAGTGGCCCCCATCTGGAGTGGATTCTGCACTTACTGTGTGGTATGAAGCTGTTGCTCGTATAAGGCTACACCTTATGCACTGGATGGAGAAACAGAGCAAGCATATACCTGTAAGTTGACCTTAGACAATCTATCACATTTTCTGATTTCGAAAATATCCTTCATTCTGTACTCTGAGAAGTAGTCTGTTTCTAATGATTTCTTCACCATGAAAGATTCATCCTTATAGTTTCAAGTTTCCAGATTTTTCCTCACTGACTATTAGCTCATCTTCTTGGTTGTATTATTTTAAACTAGAAAGGGTGTCACTTAAGTTCCTTTCTTGGGATAAGCACTTTCTCCTTCCTCTCTTTATTTATAGGAACTTTATATGTTTTGGATCAATTATTATCCATTATTGTGTTTCAAACCTACTTTCTCAAAGTGTACTGTTAATTTTATTGGTACTTGGTAGGAAGGATGGGGATACCCCAAATAGAAAAGATCACAAGATATGGACACTTTCCACCATGTACAAGAATTACATCTATCCACCAGACGCTAAATTGAAAATGATTTAATTCCACTAATCAGAAAAATGAGAGAAGTTTGGCTTGTTGAAACCTACAAGCATAGAAGCTCAACAATAAATAATCCACTCTGCCTTCTTGATGGTTTCTGATGCCATTTTTCTTGTTATAAAAGGTGGCCTTGTTTCTCTCCTTCCATAATCGCATGCATATTGTTAATGGGGACAACTTCCATAAAATATGACTCTTCTTGTTGAATCCCTTAACCAGCAAAGATTCAGTGAGGGAAGACAAATCCTTAGGTCTGTATACTGAAATTGTGTTTACTTACAGAATTATCTTGAACCATTAATTATTTTCCTGAAGCAATTAATTTTCTTCTAACATGCTCTGCTTTCCACCTTAGAAAAGCTGGATTTGTTAAGGATTTTGCTATTTTTTATTGTTGCGTCTATCTGATTTCTGTTATTGTCTTGAGATATTTTCATTGATACTTGTTCATATCATGGTGGCTGAAACTACACATTCAGCTAGGTATGAATGTCAGCATGCATGTGTTTCTGATACAGCATACCAACATGGTTGTCGATCTAATGATTTAGCAAAGAAATGAAACATCAAGGTGTTCCCATATAAAATTGACTTGCAGATACACCCTTAGTTACAAGTGTTCTAATCCTTTGATGTGATAAAGAAAGTGGACATGAAGAACTGTATTGCACCCTATGCTATGTTTTTCAATGTATAAATTACTGTTTAGTAATGACAAAGATGATGATAATGTTTATTCTAAGTTCAACCTGGTTTGTAAAGGTTAAAGTTACTGTTTCTATCCAATATTTTAAAATACAGGTTTTCTTAAAGAAGCTTTTCCATTATCATCTAGATGATACCATGACAAGAGGAGGTGATAGTATTCAAATTTCATAATCTTAAACCCATTTAGGTCTATATTTCATACTAGGAATTTGGATATTTCTTCATGATCATCATTGGAGATTTGAATATGTTTTACCTGATTTGTGCAAAATTGCCATCTGATGTCTTTGTTTTGACTTCTTTTATCTTCACATTAGCCCTCTAATGAAGACTATATTGCTTGGTCTAATTTTAACTTGTAGTGGTCTGTTTATTTTGGTTATATGTGATGATTATTTCTTTATGGCTTATAGTGTTTTCCTTCTTTTTCCCCCTCATTTGTGTACCTTCTATTATTTTGACCTTTATCCTGCATATGTTGTTCTTATTATATCCATGGTTTTAAAAGGCTTAAGCCTTGAGGCGTGATATACACACTGAGGCAAGGTGTATTGATTTTTCCTCAAGGTTTAAGTCTCACAACTTTGATATGAGGCTTAGTCCTTTGTCAGAAGTAGGCATAAGCCTCAAGAACCGGTGGCAATCATGTTATTTAATACAAAAATATACTTTATGCTTGTTTTTTAAAGTTTAAAACATATGGGAAGGGCACTTTGGTAATTATGAATCAAATAAAAGAGTAAAATGAAAAGCCAATAGGGCAAATAGAGTTATTAGTTTCTCTTAAGGTTTTAGAAGTGTTCAATGCAATTAGGGTCAAAAAGAACCTTCATCGGTCTCTCTTTAGCCTTGGTCAGATCAAGTGGGACTTTTTTCCTTATTATTCTACATTTTGGGTGACTATAAATGTAGAATGTTAGGTTTGTTATTTGTATCTATTTTCTTCACAATAAAAATACTATTTACCCTACTTTTGCCTCTCATTTCTCTTCCTAGTGGATTTCTTTTCTTTTTGTTGGTTCTTTTTGGTTGGCATAGATCAAATCAACTGACTTGTTTCTTTCTTCTGAATCGCTTGGGCAACGAGAAATCTGGTATCAACCATATGGATTATTCCTCAGATGATCCCATTAGTTAAAGAAGTTCTGATGATGGGAAATTTTTGATAACCTAAAACATTATTTAGCCTTGGTCAGATCAAGTGGGATTTTTTTCCTTATTATTCTACATTTTGGGTGACTATAAATGTAGAATGTTAAGTTTGTTATTTGTATCTATTTTCTTCACAATAAAAATACTATTTACCCTACTTTTGCCTCTCATTTCTCTTCCTAGTGGATTTCTTTTCTTTTTGTTGGTTTCTTTTTGGTTGGCATAGATTAAATCAACTGACTTGTTTCTTTCTTCTGAATTGCTTGGGCAACGAGAAATCTGGTATCAAGCATATGGATTATTCCTCAGATGATCCCATTAGTTAAAGAAGTTCTGATGATGGGAAATTTTTGATAACCTAAAACATTATGATTGACCATTTGAACAATTTGAGAATTTTGGACTTTGAAACTTGAAGTGAAGTATTAAAAGGCATGGTTGTTAGTTGATTATTTATTATTTTGTTGAATGCTGAAAGCCTAGAAATTATTACTTATATCATCTGAGGTATCTTTGCTGTCTAGTATGTCAACCATGTATGTGAGGTATCTTTGGGAGTTTGTGATAATCACATTTTTTTTAACTTTGATTTCCTGTCATTTTGTATTTTATTTGGATTTCCTTTTATGTAGTTCTTTCCTGTTTTTTGTTTATTCTAAAGTATTTTTCCTCAGCAATGAAATTTCTTTTCTAGGCTGGGTACCCCTTGGTGACTCTTCTTCTTTGTCTTGGTGATCCTCAAATCTTCCACAGTAACCTTGGTCCTCACATGGAGAATCTATACAAGCATCTTAGAGTAAGATCCATATTCTGGATATGGTTAACTTGGGGGTAAAGCAGGTGGTAGATATGGTCATCAAATTGCTTACACGGAAAATATACAAAAGTTTTGCAAAACAAGGTGCTTCAGATGCTTACTCCAATCAACTCCTAAAGCATCATACAATTTGGAAAGATCAACCCATCAAAAATAACCTCCGCAGTTTGTTACCTCTTCATTCTTTCATAGTTTCATGTCCTTTTTTCATGTCAGATTGTCAAGGGGTGGGTTCCATTGCTTAACTTTCATCCTGTCTGTATGTGCAAAACTGGTGTAAGCTGTTATCCACCTCTCTTATGCAGGACAAGAACCACCGCTTCATGGCCCTGGACTGTCTTCATCGAGCTATGCGATTTTATTTGAGTGTTTATGCAGATTACCAACCCAGAAATCGTGTATGGGACTACCTGGATAGTGTCACTTCACAACTGCTGATATTTCTAAGGAAAGGAATGCTAACTCAGGATGTTCAACATGATAAACTTGTAGAATTCTGTGTGACTATAGCTGAAAGTAACTTAGATTTTGCCATTAATCACATGATATTGGAATTGTTGAAGCCGGATAATCTGAGTGAAGCAAAGGTGATTGGCCTATGTGCTTTGCTTGCAATTGTCATGTCTCCTTCTGGCAAGCATAATGGCTTAGAAGTTTTTCGAGGTAATAGACCTCTGTTTTCAGTTATCTTCTCTGACTTTTATTCATCTTTCTGTACTCTCATTTTATCAGACCTTTATGTCACTGTCAGATCATGATATTGGCCATTATATTCCAAAAGTTAAGTCTGCAATTGAGTCAATCTTAAGGTCTTGCCACAGAATGTACAGTCAAGCTCTTCTTACTTCTTCAAAGGCTACTATAGGTAATATCTCTTTATCATGTTGTCCAGTTTGTTACCTTTTTTATGTCTATCCTCTACATGAAAGTGACAGAAGTCTTATTTGTATTAGCATACATGAAGGATAGGTGTCAGAATTTCTGGTTGCAATGGGACTTTATAATGGGTCATCCCTTAGTACATATGTGTTTGCAGTCATGGATGTACTGATAAAGCATGTGCAGTAAGTCTCATGGTCATGGTGTATATTGTTTGCTGAATAGATAGTATTGATCAACAAGTCTATCATGTGATTGAATGAAAACTAAAATTTGAGTGAGATGTATTAAAGTCAAATATTTTATGATAAATATTCAATCAATGTTATGTAAGTATCTGATTTGAGGCATAAGCTGGGGTCTCCATTCTATCATAAACTCAAGTGAAGCTCACTTGCATGAGAATGAAATCGAACATCAACATCAGGTATTTTTGGTTTTTGCACTTGGATTTCATGGTTTTTGATGCAGACCATCAAGTACCATTTCTTCTTCATTCACAAATTCCCTCAGCTTCTCAGCTAGCTCCAATTAACAGCCAATACATGTTAGGTTAAAACTTTTTTTTATCAGCAACAGGAAATTAATCCAGCATTTCATTCATTGCATCTTGCTATTTACAATTCTGCCCAAAACAGTTGTTCGCTGTAAACCTCTTGCTTTGCTAATACATCAGCTAACACATTTGCTATTTTTTTCACCTATCTGAAGGTAGCTTCCACCTCAATAACTAGTCTTTTCATCTCCCTCAATGTTTGCCTGAACATCCAAGCACCTAGGTTTTTGCTGCACATCCAAGAGATGACCAGCTTTGTGTCCCCTTCAACCTCCACCTGCTTCAGTCCAAGCTGTTTAGCTAATTTCAGCCCTTGTAATAATGACAGC